ACATCGGGCTCCCAGCTCAGCGGGGAGCCTGCTTCTCCCTCTGACCCTCGCCCCTCTCATGCTGTTTCTCTCTCGCTCGCTCTCTAAAAAATAAAGTCTTTAAAAAAAAAAATAAAATAACAACTGATTTAGCCCATTTTTCTGTAACCCCTTTCTTAGGTTCTTCCCTGACATCTTAATTCTAACACTTGAGTATAAAAAATTATTAGATCTGTCATCGCTTTACAACATTAGAAAAATATAGTTAACTGGCCGACGGCTTCCATAAATTCATGAATACAGCAAACCTACTGACCTTTTCCTAACTATAACATTTGAACCCTAATTTTTTTTAAATAAACTTCTTACCATAGGGAGTTATAATTCCTAACATACAAACCTGGTCCTTTTTTCCTTCTATATGCAAATATACAAATTGCCAAGTTTCTTATTTCACATTATATAAACAATGGGCATTTTTAAATGAAACTTCCCCTTAGAAGTGACACTATCACATAAATACTCATTTATACATTACATAAAAAATATAGCAATCATGGAAAACAAAATCTATGTTGACCAATACTACAGAGTGAATGTTCGTGTTCCCTCAAGATTTATATGCTGAAACCCAATCCCCAAGGTGATGATATTTGAAGGGTGATTAAGTCATGAGAGTGCAGCCCTCATGAATGAGATTAGAACCCTTACAAAAGAGGCCCCTCTTCACTTCCATCATGTGAGGAGGCAGAGAAGACAGTCACCCATCTTTGAACCAGGAAGCAGGTTCTCAACAGACACCAAGTCTGTAGGTACCTTCACCCTTCACCTTGGACTTCCAGCTCCAGAACTGTGAGAAATAAATGATTATTGTTTAAGCCACCTAGTCTAAGGTATCTTTGTTACAGCAGCCCAAACAGACTAAGACAACTGTTATCAGAGTTCAGCATTAATATAAATTCACAAAGCCATGTTTTACTGAGCTGCCACATGGCTAACCTTCAGCAAATTCGGTTCGGCAATAATCTGTGACTCTCAAGAGATTCACATACCTTCGCCCTCTTGGTCCTCTCTGTTTAATATCACAGCAGAGGAGTCTCCATTAATGACATCCAGGAAGAAGTCTGCAGGGTTATTATAAGGCTCACAGTGGTAACCTACAAAAAGAAGGCAACTCAGGTATATAACCTTGATGGTCTTGGAAAGTAAAAACTCACTTTCAGGGGTGAGAGAGGTGAGGCAGAGGAAGAGAACCAACTTCTCCCTCATCTTTTTTCCTCTTCTTTTACTGATTTACCCTTTCTTTTTATGTATTCAATCACACGACATTTCAACAATGCTCTGTCTTCCAGAAAAACAACATACTCAAAACCAACCTTGAAAATTAAAAAAAAAAAAACAAAAACCAACCTTGGACTCCCAAAATATCTTAAGTTAATATCTGGTCCTTATCCATTATAATTCATGAGACCTGAAACAGCTATCAGTATGCTCTGATGCTTATCAGAACCGCTTCAAAAATCTAAATATAGGTCCAAGGGAAAAAAATTGAGTTTAAAAAAAAAAAGCTGTAGCTAGGACTAATGCTCCTCAAAGCAAGGCAAGAAGCAAAGAATGCTAAGGCACAGCAAGACGGCACTTGGGAAAGGCCAGGGGTGTATTCTGTTCTCCCAGTTCACCTGGGGACTGCCAAATGATCATTTGTTGTGCTGTCATAATTCCAATATAGAGAACAAATCCCCAGAGCAGCACTCCCAAGAGAATAAGACTGGCACCACACAAGTGAATGCTTATCTCAATTTCTTGTAGCATGATCCTCTGAACTCAACTTGGCCTGTAGTCTATTAGGTTCATCTCCTCTAAGCTCCCTAGACCTGTGTGTGCTTGTTAACTTTAAATGAGAGAGATTAAACAAAAATTTTAAAAGATGGCTAGTGAACATTTAAAACTATATTTGGAGTCATGGAGCGCCATCTATAATCCTATCCAAATATCTCTAAAATGAAACAGACTGCATGAGTCATAAAAAAAAAAAAATTATATATGTCCATTCTAAATAGAACCAGGCAGCCCAAAACTGTCAGAAGTGTTAGCCCCTCAAAGTAAGACTTACAATGAGTCATCCTATTGACTGGTAAGTCACTCATACCCCCTCAAGGCCTAAATCTGTAATTTAATGTTACTAGAAAATTTTAAGTAGCATCTTCATGAACCCCCACCAAAGCAGACCAACATCCCATACAAGGGAGTAAAATGAGAAAGCCTGATCCATAATCTGGACAAGAAGACAAACTATTTGGGGATATTATTAGGCCTTTTCAAAAATGTTCGCCCGACAGATAACTGGTTATGAGGCCAACATATTTACTGAACTGTTAGGGAAAGGTTGCCAGAACTGGGAAGAGGATCAGATACAGGCCCAGTAGAAATATTCATACATACATAGGCAGGCATAGTCAAATAGGACAGGAAAGAGATCTAAAGAACAAGCTAGCACTATAAAGTGAAGAAAAACTCTAGCACCAAACTAACCAAAGATGTTTTGGAGTGGCAGAAGCCATAGTATGTCTACTCAAAGACCAAACAGCACTCCTAGAGACCTCCTTTGCTCTCTTCCAGGATTCTATTAATAAAGGATCTTACTGTGTGAAAAAGTCAAGCATACCCACTGATGCAAAGTACCCCAAGGCCTCCTGGGCAGGCCCGTGGAACATTAGTCTTCCTGAGGCCAACAAGGTGAGGCTATCAAACAACTTGAAGATAGAATAACGAGGCTGATGAATGGAGAAGATGATTGTTCGTCCCTGTTCAGACATCCTAAGTTAAAAGCGAAAAAATAAAAGTCATTAAACATCTGAAACGTGAACATCATGGCAACTTTATTCCTGCCTTCAGATCATCTGTTCTTAGTTCGACTTGATTTTCTCTTACTAGCTTCTCATTTCATATTATCTGATAGTTAGGAGACCTAAATTCAGCGCTTTTATAAAACACTAGGGTTTCTAAAGTGCGGTCCATGGGCAATCACCATCAACCAGATATTAATGAAAAATGCAGATCCCTGGACAGTCTTCTCAGACCTAGTGGGCAAGTGAATCCATATTTCTAACAAGCACCCACGTAATTTGTAAGTACACTCAAGCTTGGAAACATATCATGGACTAAATATTAAAATGATGGTTGGATGCCCCATTCTCACTGATCATTTAAATCCCCTGGCTCTTTAGGAATTGGTTTTCATTCTTTTGCCCTAACGATACAATTAACATTACTGAGTACTTACTATGCCTTTGCTATATACTTTCATACTTTTCTCAATTCTCACAATATTGTTATAAGGCAGTGCCAATATTATTACCTTTATGCTACGGATAAGACTTAGACGGCTGAGCGACCGGCCCTAAGTGTCACAGTTAGTAAGGGGCGGGGCTGATTTGATCCCTGGTCTGATTCCAAGGCCAAAACATTGCTAAACTACCTTTACACAGGAAGTACTACTCCTGGATAGAAGAAACAAAGGCCAAAATCACTGTTGAAAACCTGTCATTATTGAAAATATTTTGTGAGAAGTATCATGTCAATTTAAGCATTTTCTAAGCACTTACTACATGTTGGCAGTGGGTACAAGCTTGCTCTGCTTCAAAGGGGATCAGGCCAGCAGATCCAACCATTTCAGTACAGAGTGGAATAAAAGAAGCTGAGGGTTCCTTATAAGCAAAATGGAAGACCATAAGCCGGTCTGAAGATAACATAAGTAGTGTATCAAAGGGGCCAACCAGAGTAAGCCAAGAAGAGAAAATGTAGTCACGGGGAAGGAAGTCACGGCCACAACAAAGTGTGCAATAACAGATCTACCTAAGGAGACTACAAGTACTTCCGTGTCATTGCAGAGCCTGGATGTGTGTGCGGGGATTGGGGCGGGGGGTAGGGGAAGAAGCTAGGAAAAAGACCGCCCCAAAAATCAAGCCCATGATGAGTCCTTTCACTCAGAAGCTGCAGCTTTCATCACAGGGCAAGAAAGAGCCAGTGAAGGACTGAAAGTAGGGAAGTGCATCGTTGCAACAGCCTTGTGGTCTGAGGACCAACGGCAACAGGATCAGTATCTCCCAGGAGACACGTACACGCGGACTCCATCTCAGAGCCGTGGAAACAGAATCCGATGTTAACAAGACCCTGGTGATTAGTGTGCACAGTGGAGTGTGAGAAATTCTAGGTTAGAGCCCTCCGGTGCAAGGAAAGATGCTTGTGTGCCAACTAGTGCAAAACAGGATAAAACACGACATAGTCCAGTATTCCACATCAATCCACCATTCTCTAATGAACACTGTT